TAGAGGGGGAGGAGGAGGAGGAGGAGAACGAGAAGAATAAGTAGTAGTAATAGTAGTAGTTTAGAGATAGTTGGCTATGGATTTAGGGGGGGGGGGGGGGGGGGGATGAGGAGGAGAAGACGAGGAAATGGAAGAGAAGGAAGAGGTAAAAAAAAATAAAAGTCGCTATGGCTATGGCTATGGCTCAGTGGAGGACAAATAGAGGAGGCGGCGAAGAACGAGAAGAAGAAGATATTGCAGATGAGGGGAAAAAATCACTGTAGCCGTGGCTAAGGCGCAACTGGAAAGAAAGGAGAGGAGGAGGAAGACGACGAAGCAGTTCTGAATTTTGTGATTTAGGTGGGGTACAAAAAAAAAGATATTGTTGGCTATGGTAGTCTGTGAGTGGGGACTGTGGGAGGAAGAGGGAGAGGAGGAGGAGGAGGAGAAGAAGAGGAAGAACTATAAGTTAAAAATGGAGGAAAAAAAACAGAAGTTCGCTACGTTTATGCCTATGGCTCAGCAGGTAGAAGTAGAGGAGGAGAAAAAGAAGCTGTGACATCCGTGACTGGGGGACGTGGGAGGAAGAGGGAGAGGAGGAGGAGGAGGAGGAGGAGGAGAAGAAGAGAGGCGGCGGACAAAAAAAAGAGGAGGAGGAGAGAAGGAGAAGGAGAAGAGGAAGAAGAGGAAGAAGGCAAAGAAGAGGGAGGAGGAGACGAAGAAGAAGAGGAAGAGGAGGGAACAATGCTGCAGAAGGGGCGAGCAGGAGGATGAGGTGGAGCTCTCTCTCTCTCTCTCTCTCTCTCTCTCCCCCACCCTCCAAGAACCTGACAAAAATGGAGGATGAGAAGAAGATGAAGAAGAACAAGAACAAGAAGAACAAGAAGAGGAAGGGGGGGAGGAGGAGAAAAGATGAAGAGGACGACGACCAAGAGGAGAAAAGATGAAGAATAAGATGAACAGGAAAAGGTGAAGAAGAAGAAGAAGAAGAAGAGGAGGAGGAGGGAGGAACAACAAACGACGGTGTAAAAGGTTTGTGGTGGCGGTCTCTCTCTCTCACACTCTCTCTCTCTTTCTCTCTCCCTCCGAGAACGCAGATGACTAAAGAAGAGGAAGAAGCAGAAGCAGAAGCAGAAGAAAGATCCAGCGGCCTAGCTCAATTGGTTAGGCACGCAAGTGGCATTCAGGAGGTCGTGGGTTCAATCCCCATGGGCGCCTGTAGCACTCTTGGTGCCAACCAACTGAGATGGTCAGCTCGATCCTCCCAGTCGGTATTAGTAAGGTCCTCAGCCAACACGGGTGTGAGTGCGTGTGTGAGTGGGTTGTGTGTGGTGTGTGGGAGAGTGTTGGCAGTGTTGGCTTTAGACACTACTGTTACTCGATGGGGGTGGGGGAAGATGAAAGGGAGGCACAGTTACTGGCAAATGCACGGTCCTTGTGTTAGCCGGGCCCCCACCGGCGGCCCCAACCCTGCACCCTAAACGCTAGGGCAAAGGGGCAAACATGCCGTTTCCCCTCTCCATCAAGAGAGGTAACCTCCCTTCACCAAAGAGAGCTAGAAAGCTATGCTTGCAGGGGTCCCCTGCATAGCCTTAGGAGTAGTGGTAGGTTCTGAAAAAGATAGATATGTTCCATGACATGGCAGAACGCCAGTTAAAAAAGATATGTGAGTTGAGAGAAAATGTATGGCTGTCCCCCAATGAGGAGAAGGCAGCTTAAAAAAAAAAAAAAAAGAAGAAGAAGAAGAAAGAAGAAAGTAGAAGAGAAGAAGAAGAAGAAGAAGAAGATGGTGAAGAAAAAAAAAACTATCTATGCTAGGTGCACTCACCTTTCAGCAGTTGACAGCGATGGGGGGTCGGTGCTTTCTCGCAGGCGGGCGTGGCGATGACGTACGGAGGCTTTGGCGGTGGCGAGCAGCAGGATGTCGACACGCTGCTGGAATGAGCGCAACGTCGCGCTGCATGCCCACGACGAGTGCAGGGTAGGTTGGTCGGGGTGGTGGGGGCTGCAGGCGCTGGGGAGAGGGGGGAGTGCAATACAGGTGTTTCAAAAATTGAAACATGGCCGATTATGGCTGCCGGTCTGCCAGATCTGTGGCCTAAATCAGCCGCGTTTGAATTTCAAAACTCGGGGCCGTTGGACTTTTTTCGATGAAACGTGGCGGCCGATCCCTATCGTCCATCATCGCAGATCGATGGGGGGGATCGCCCGCCGCGTTTTGAAAACGCTGGGCCCAACAGCCCCGTTTCTCTTTTCACTTGGTGGCGGCGGCCTCTTAGAGGCCAGGCAGGCGGTGGGGAACCCAAAATCCCCCGGTACCTCCCCCGCAGCGAAATGCGCTGGGGTCAACCTGGTGCCTGCCGGACTGGTCGATCGCCCGGTCCGACCAGCACGGACCGGTCGTCGGACCCGCGGTCGATCTGGGGACCAGCCCTGGGTCAGATGCATTTTGGAAAGTGCAAGTATGCCCTCACTCTGGTTCTGGTTCCACCAGCAAGCCATGGATTATAACTATAAATACCCAAACATCCTTCTGTGAAGGCCGAAAAAGCCCTCAACAGCATCTACTTCTCCATCTCAAACCACCAGTACATGCCAGCTCTCAGCCGCGAGCCCCTTTCGAAGGTGGTTCAAGGGAGATTGATTGTCAGATAGCCTTTCTGTCTCAGATTCCTTTCAGTCAGATTACCTTTCAAATTTTAAAATTTAAGTCAAGACTCCATGTATCTTCTCTCTCTCCACAGCTTATCTTAAGTCAGAGTGAGACAACAAAACGAGAACATACAATACAAAATGAAAAACGAATGGTTATTTCAGATTGCTTATATGGACGCTGCAGAGCCTTGGCAATACGGATTTCAAGATGCAGCCACTCCTATGATGCAAGGAATTATTAGGCAGGTGAGTATCTGGGATTTCAGATTGCTTATATGGACGCTGCAGAGCCTTGGCAATACGGATTTCAAGATGCAGCCACTCCTATGATGCAAGGAATTATTTAGTGCGCCCACAGAGAGAGAGAGAGAGAGAGAGAGAGAGAGAGAGAGAATCGCTTCAATAATCAGAACTACAATGTGGATCTCCCCCTTTGGCAACCTGTCTCTATCGTTGGCCAGGTCGCTCCCTCATGATAACGCTAAGGGGTTAGTAATTATTCATGAAGAAAACTCTTATAAGAAAAAGTATAAAGTATCGTAACAAAACACGCATAAATCCATTAAAATTGGAATGATACATAGAAGATTAGCATGGCCCCTGCGCGAGGATGACACGCATAAATCGAGAAACACGAGAAAAAAAGAATTAATATAAGATTAATTTAATAAGATAGCAAAATCGAATCATAGATTAAAATGGGAATTGAAAGATATGAAATATTTTTATATTTGATTCTATTAATAATTTCTATAATAAGATAAAACAAAGGATTTTTTAATATTTTTATTTCGGGTATTTAGAAACAATAATCGAATCATCAAATCAATGGAATATCAAAGACTCTTCTAGAGTTTCTAGGCCAACAAGTGCATGATATACACCTCCAAATCCCAAGTATGGCTTAAAGTAAAGATACACGAATCACGATTATTTCAGAGTGCAATATTTGTAGTAATAATAATAAAGAATCAAAATCTTGAGAGAGAGAGAATCGCTTCAATAATCAGAACTACAATGTGGATTTCCCCCCTTGGCAACCTGTCTCTATTGTTGGCCAGGTCTCTCCCTCATGATAATGCTCAGTACGGCTTCTGTTTCGCCTCCCTGATCGCACTACATGCCAGTTTCTCTTCCCAAGCATATCTGATTGTGGCCTGGCCTCGTCTAGGCAAGTGCATACCCTATCTGAGCAGCAAAACTGGAGCAGTGTAGAAGAAGTATACACCGTGAAGAGCATCAGTCTGACTTCTCCATGTAAGCAGAACACGATCTCCGTCCACACCCAGATCACACCTCGTTCCTTCAGTCCATGCTGGCATTCCACTACAGCTATGGAGGCAGCGTCTTCCCTTCTCTACGGGCAGCACCCAGTAGGCTATGGCTGTCTCCTTATCTCTCTACTTCTGCTGGGCTCTGTGAAGTCTGCTCCAGCGCATGAACTCTCCATCAACTCGCCCGAGCAGAGTGAATGTGCGAGCTAAGGCAGGCCCTTCTTTTGCACTGTTGACTCGGCCCTCGCCTGTTCAGTTTGCCTCAATGAACAGCTGAGATTTGTCCGATCCGCGTGACCAGAATATACCCCCAGCCTGTGTGCCTTGGTCCAATTGAGTCTGAAGTTTTCCTGGCAACTTTGCTGTGCCTTTGAATTTCTGTGATCTGTGCGACTTCTGGGAAAGTCCTTGACCCTTGGTCTACTGTGCCTGTGTTGGGCTGACCCTTGGTCTACTATGCACTTGCTGGGTTGACATTTGAACTTTTGGGGATGCTCTTGAGCGCCTGTACCCTTACCCATTCACTCCGGGCCCTAGACATCACAGACCGGAACACACGACCACCTGAGCGCTATCCTTAGCCCTTTTGTCTCGTGCTGTTTGCAAAATACTCACAATAAATAATTAGTAAAATATAATTGATTAATTTGGTGATAAAAATCATTTAAATAAACAAATTTCATCAGAAAAGTAAAAGAGAGGAGCAGTTCGTGTTGGGATTTTGTGTTTTCCCAGAAAAAGCCATGCACTGGGCTTTGAGGTGGTTGGAAGTGGTTGCCTATTTCTGGGAGAGCTCTGCTTGGTGACCTTCTGTATGCAGCTGGGGGTGAGGGCAGGGGAGCTGTGTAGGTAAGAAGACTTTTGTTGATGAGGTGTGTTTGCCTTCTCTCATTCCTCTCTCTATTCCTTTCTTTGGGGGGGGCGGAAGGGGGAGGAGGGGTAAGGTGAGAACAAGTACTGATCTCTACATGTGTGATGAAACACCTTCGTGTGCACGATCCAGCCCATCACAAATAGTACGCAATTCTGAAGTTTGTGGTTCGGTGTAAAGTACTCATCTTGACATGTGTGATAAAACCCTTTTGTGTGCAGAATCTAGCCCAACACAAACGGTATGCTCTTCTGAAGTTCGTCGTTAAGCTTGAAGGCACCAGCCCCTCTGTGCGCCAGCTTGTTATTGGTCGGAAGACGGAGTGGAAGCGCGCTGTGGACTGGCTGCAGAACGAAATTCTCACGAATGGTGCTCCGAGCCCAATGAGCACACCCCCTCTCTCCAATGAAGAAATGACCAGTGGGTACCTGATGAGGACAAGCACTGCCGAATGGACACTAGACCGGGCAAGGAACGTTCTGAGCCCGTAGAGCCCACAGTGTGTTCCAGTCCGTGACAATTTTTACGTTTGTATACTGTCATGTGGTGCGCTCTTCTTCTGAATCAGAGCGATCTGATGGTGATCCTTTGGTGAGGAGAAGGATGTGTGTGTGTGTGTGTTGTCGAAGGGTGATATCATGTGTTGTTGATTTGGCATAATGCCATTGCATTTCATTTGCTGGCCGGCAGCATGAAAGGCTGGCATATCATTGTTGAAGCCACCAGAAGCTGCATGTGGTGTGCAAACGACTTCCGCGTTACTCACCAAGTGCCCTCCTGCTTTGGACCATGTTGTCGACCCCTCAAACCTCTTCCTCCCAATGTCGTCTCTGCGCCTATTCGCCTCCTTACGGGATGTTGCGGTCCTTGAGGCTGGGTTTGGATCCCAACATGATAGGGGACTGTTGCTGGACCTTTCTTTCTGAACGAAAAAAAAAAAAGCCTCTTCTTTGGCCAATGGTTGCCATTCTAGCATGCCTCCATGAGGGGCAGACGAGAGTGTGACGCTGGCCTCCTGCACATTGCTCGGATGCGACCATGGGAAGAAACAATTGCGTTGGTCGACACAGTCGCTCTTTGAGAAGGAGATTATTAGTGTCTATTGTTTGAGAGCTTGCTCCCGTCTGCATCAAAAGACCAGTTGTGGGCATATCCCCACACGACCTTGCCTCCCTGACTAGCAATAAGGAACCAACAATGTGAACCTGACGGATGGGTGAGTTGATGTTTGTTTGCCACAGAGATGGATAGACTAATTGTGCAATAACTGACAATAGTAGTGTGACCGGCCCAACAAGTCGAGACAAGGCCACCTGTGTTATCTTAAGAGGTATGGTTTTGCCTTCCTCGGGATGCATAGAGGAGAGAGAATGCAGTGGCAGCAGATCTCTTCAAGCGGCGATTATGTTTACCCACGAGGGAAAAGTAAGGTCTTCTCCGTTGGCTCTGGCTTGAGGGACTACCAGTCTCCAGAGTGGGACCGGGTCTGGAATCTGCTCGACCTCGTATGAGGGAGGACGAAGGCAATCTTCAGTGTGAGATTGTCGACAATGTGTGGCCATCCTATTTGCAGAAGCCTTTGTTGATTGACTGACTGACTAACTGTGCACCGTCCCTATCTTTTCCATCTAACGACATTCACACACACACACACACACACACACACACACACACAGAGAGAAGCTTTCAAACGTTTGCGTAAGTGGCTGAGAACCTTGACATCAGGCTGTCAGAAGTTGCAGGGTTGACTAGAGGACCTGGATATCTTTACTTGGTTATGTTTGCGGACGATGAGGCATCACGTGTATGTATAAGGATGATGGGAGTCGAGGAGAAGAGAGGGAAGAGTCTTGCCAGGAGGGCAGCAGCTAGGTTGGCGGGCTGACCAGTGACCACCGTAGATCGCAGGGAAGGGTCTGATATGATGAGTGGTTCTGCCTCCTACCTCGACTGTGGTTATAATTAGTGAGAGGAGGGGATATCATGGGTGGGTGTATGGGAAAATTTTTATTTCGATGCGCCACACGGCGGCTAATAATCCTTTCGTCAACGAAGGAAGGGTGATACCATTGTGTCCATGACAAAAGAGGAGTGAAGTGTCGAGCATGTTATGAGCGAGAGGCATAATTAATACCTGGAAATCCAATGGCTGCTGGAGTAGGATTGTGTTGGAAATCCGATGGACATCAGAAGGCAGTTGGATGGATCTCCTGCCAGGGGAATACTCCAAGAAGTTAGCATTCCCATTCAAAAGGTGGGTAGGAGTTGAGAGAGGGGTTTATGTGTTGATATGTCTAGCGGGCTACCAGGTTGCTGAGGTTGGTGGGATTTCAGCACCCCGGTTGACTGCTGACTAAAAGCAAGTGTCAACAGACGAGAAGAGTATTAGGAGGGGAGGAGGATAAGGAGAGAGAAAGTATACTTAACGCGTGTCATGGCGAAGATGGTGCTAGTGTACACGTGTCATAGCAAAGATGGCGCTTCCTCATACGAATTCAAGGAGTTACATTGGTGCAGAAAGATGATGGGGCGGAATTCTTTCAGCGGTCGGATCAGAGAGTACTAGGAGTTTGGTTTTTAGTTATTTTGTGAAGTGATTTTGTTAAATGTTGGTGTCAACATTGTACCATGATTGGGATTTAGGCTAGCAGTATGTGAGATGAGCGAGTCCAGGAGTCCGCGCGTGCCACTGTGTCTGCATGTGTAGCTGGAGAAATCTGCGGACAAAAGACGTAGGAGGCTGAGGTGCGAAAACAAGGAGGGTGTTGCATGGCCTGCTTACCAGAAGAGAGAACGTAGCCAGGGGAGAAGGGGGGGGAGGTGCTGCGAAAGGGGGAAATAGGGAGGGAGCGTCATCAGCCAGCTCGTCCGGGAGGAAAGCACCTGATAGATTATTCTAGCAAACAGTGAAGTCAGCATACACTTTGGTTCACCAATGGCAACATCGTACACCGCTTAAGAGTGACGAATTGCCAATGACGTCAACAAACTACATTGTGTTAGTTGCATCACGTCACTCAGTTGCATTCACTGTTTGGTGGGTTGTGGATAAAAGGTTGCACATCCTACGAGCGAGGACAAGGAAAAATGACAGGAATCAGCTTAGACTTTGGGAGTCCTTGTGAGGTAGATGAGAGAGTGGTGTACTCTTTCCGCTGCCTGCTTGTGGATGAACGCCCTGGGACCTTTGATCTGGCGTTGACTCTTTGGCCCCAGAGAAGGCTCTCTCTCTCTCTCTCTCTCTCTCTCTCTCTCTCTCTCTCTCTCTCTCTCTCTCTCTCTCTCTCTCTCTCTCTCTCCCTCCCTCCCTGCTTCGATGTTTCTACTGGGAAATGTGCAGTTGTGGCACGCTTTTGCTCTTGTGCTTGCATAGTAGCTCACATATTTTTGTAAGCATTGTGTTGACACAAAGGGTCTTCAGTGGGTGACACAAACAAGCATGGGGACCTTTCCAGCGGTGGAATGGCCTCCTCATTCCTCCACTGATGTGCCTTGTTATCAGTACGACTGAGTATATCCTACTGCTGACGAGAACTTGTGGGTAAAATGTTCAGTGTGGGGGGTGATTGGAAGCTGATCACCTTAATGGAGTTTATCATTGCAATAAATCCTTGTGTATTGGCCAACTACATTAGTGTTCTTTTGTTGGTGGCCCGCTGCCTTTGTTTCACGTCCATTATAATGACCTCCCCTGCCCTTCTTTCACATCCCGACAGTCTTCATGTTTGATTGGGGATGCGTTGATTTATGTGCCTCACTCGGCATTTATGAAGCGTCCGAGTGTCTACCTACAATCAGTCCTCTTGTTTGATTGGGGATGTGTTGGCTTCTGTGCCTCACACGCCATTTGCGAATCGTTCCATTGTGTCACTTCAATGCCCAATATACGTTGTTCCCCTCGTGGCTATGAAAGTTGTTACTATCGATGTGCGCCTGACAATTGATACATTGCTCTGTAAGAAAGCTATTACCATCGATACCTTTGGGCATTGTTATCCTTGGGGCTTAATGAAAGTTTTTACTCTTGGTTACCATATTTTTATGTGGGATGAAAGCTTTTACCGCTGATGAGCAATGTCCTCCGGGCCCCGGGGCATCCAGTAAAATTGGAACGATACACAGAGGGTTAGCATGGCCCCGGTGCAAGGATGACAGACATAAATCGAGAAATGGTCTTCCCCCCCAAAAAAAAATTGTTAGCATTGATCAGCGATGGAAGTCGTCACCATTCATGTACGATGAAAGTTGTACCCTTGGGGGTTGATGAAAGTGATGATTGATGGATGAAAAATAGTGTATGCACCTGGATGTCAAAATTTGAAATAGGAGAGCCACGTTTCGAATTGTAAACCACCAGTTTGTCTGTCGGCCAAAGTGTCGAATGCAGCATGGGCAGTGGTGCGTCCTTCAGGGGTAGGTCTAGTGGAGCTCTTTGGCATGCAGCGTCAGCTTCCTAAAACAAAAACGATCTTGCTGTGCCAGTTCGCTTGTGTTGTGGCCCGAAAAAGGCTCTGAAATGCTGGTGGTAACTGTGATTTGGATTGGTCTTTCAAAATGTATTTCTGTGAAGTCTCTTGTCCAGTTTCTCAGAGGAAATCCTTTCCTATGGGTGTGCTGCCTCTGAGAACTGCTGCCTTTTTCAGTTGTTGAATTTGACCATCATCTGAATCATGGCTTCTCCTGACCTTACGTTGGCTTACCCGGCTGGATAAGGTGTGCTGGCCTTCTCTTCCCCCCTTCCCCTCCCCCCCCTGCCCCCCCCCTCCTCCCTCTCCCCCGCAAAGTAAAATATATTTTCCCAGTTCTAACTGGGCTATAAATTCAAGGGCGAGGCTCGAGCAAGACTTGGTTTAGTCCCTTCATGTCATCTCATTTGGTTGCATGCCTGACTTGTACGAGATAGCTGCTCGGTTCGTGGCCCACTTATAGACTTTTGTCTGGATTGGACAACCAAGACGGTGTCCTGCTGGAAATCGTTTGGTGTGAGCACGAAGTACTGGATTCCCTACAGCAACATCCTTGGCAGAACTCTCAAGTGAATTCTCGGAACAACCCAATAGCTGCGAGCACCAAGTACCGGATTCTTGATCTTGGCAGAACTTTTTAACCGTCAGTATTTTGAGAAGTTTTGACCCTTTCCTTGCTCAGCCTGGAAACATGCTCCATGCCAGAAGAAAACAGAGCAGCCATAGGCATCTTTTGGCTGGAGCCGCGAAACACATTTTTCTCTGGTAGGCCGACCCCCAAACTTAGAGCATTAATGGCCACGTTCTCTGGTAGGCCGACCCCCAAACTTAGCGCATTAATGGCCACGTTCTCTGGTAGGCCGACCCCCGAACTTAGCGCATTAATGGCCACATCGGGCCATAAAAGCACATTCATAGAGGCTGAAGGGCACTTTGCGCCTGGAGTTGTGATGCAAGCCTCCTGGCGCTTATATGAGATGAGGCGGCTCGAAGAGTGGTCGTTTTTGGGGAAGCATTCGGCCTTGTGCACTTGGGGAAGCACGCGAATGCACACTGGCCTTCGGCCCTCTGCCTGCTGTTGGTCAAAACGAGCAAGGCCTTAGTCGGAGTGGAGAAATAGGCCGACCCCCAAACTTAGCGCATTAATGGCCACATCGGAGAAAAATGGCCGGGAGAAGTACTGGTGGTTTGAATGAAAATTCTGAATGGCACTGGCTAGGTCTAGGT